AATATAAAGGCTATTATGGCCACAAGTAGAGCCAATGTAGGGATACCATACCCTAAGCCCCAACCCACAGTATCTTGAATGTACACTAGGAATGTGTTTGAGAAAAGGGTGCCGAAAAATATGCTAAACATCCACCAATTAAAGAAGGTGAGCTTCTGGGCCCTTTCTTTGGGCTCAAAATCGTCGAACTGGTCTGCACCCATTGTCGAGATATTGGGCTTGGTTCCACCCGTCCCAATTGCAATAATGTAGAGTGCGCAATAGAAGATACCAACTTGAAACGACGAAGCCCGTTTATCGCAGTCTAGGTAACTCACATGTTTCCCACATGATGGTGGCTTTAGGGATGATAGTGAAACCACAAGAGTCAATAAGCACATACCCTGTATAAGGAAAGAAAAAAATGTTGTAACTAAGAAGATCATTCCCAGACCGTAAAAATAATTTGGGCTTAACACCCATAACACGAAGATTGCTTGTTATAAAGGTAGAACAGTAGAGTGGTGCGTTTCAAGAATACATGGCAAAGGACCATTATTCATGGTTCTAATTCTCTCAAACCCCCGAAAAGGTAACAAGATTCGAGACTTGGGCCCATTAATCTATCATGCTGCCCCGTTGTCAGTCCTACATAGAGGTTGTTTGGTTGATTTTTCATTAAGTCTTGTCTAGACAAATGTATGTTTGGATTGATCTGTTTGTATAGATCGGAAAGGTATAATTTTTGGGATGGTTTTCATAGCGGGAAGAATAGTATTTTTTAACTAGAGGTGGTAGATTTGGAAGAAACTTGGCTTTCTGCATAAAACTTCCACTTAGAAACTTACTAATAAGTCACTTTCTATATCTTTAAGCCATAACCAAATAGTCGTGTATAGCTTAATGAATAAGCTGTGAGTCACATTAAGCTCACTAAGCTGCTAACTAACAAACAGGCCCTTAGTCCTATAATATAAACGATGTTTAGAATCATATAGTTACCAGAAGATAAATCACTGAAGCAATCATGAAAGTCCAATATCTTCCCAAATATGTGTCAGCAATGTATGCACCCAAAAGAGGAGTCATCCACACAGTTCCCACCCAATTTGTGACATTGTTTGATGACTTAACAGTCCCTTCATGCAACTCCCTTGTTAAATACAACACCAAATTTGTTGATATCCCATAGTATGCCATTCTTTCACACACTTCATATCCTGAAAATTAAGTTGAAAGAACCACAATAAATACTAGACCCTTCATTCAAATTTTACCTAGTAACCATTTATCTAGAGGGTATGTACTTGTACATACAAGTAATTGAAGTTGTTTCTTGTTTTTTTTATGCATGTATGGATGTTATGCACATGTGCATACCAGACAAGTTGCTTACAAATTGCTTTAATGCACATGTGCATTCCTTTCAGATGAACTGTTACCAGAGTGTTCTTCAGTTTTTCATTTTTCTTTGCGGTTTTCCCCTGCACCTGACCCTATATATAATATAATTATATATATATATATATAAATCAAATCTTATGACACTGACCTAGCATGAAGTAACAAGCTCTCCATCTCCCAGTATTTGATCTTAGGACAGGTTTACCCTTAAGATCTGTAGTCCCATCTTGTGTAAAATCTTTTCCGACTCCCTTCTCCTCTTCCATCAATCCCATCGCAAAAAAACACAAGAAAGAGAGAATACTATGGATGCTAATGAATGTTCGGCTTCCTATAAATCAGTATGTAATTTTGGAACTTTGCCAAATTATACCGAAACAGCTTAATGCAGCATCACAAGACACAAGTTCTAGTTTAGGATAACACCTAACAATATTTCTTGTCCCTTCCTCTTGTCTAACCTTCCATTTGTATATCCCAAAGGTAAATTCTAGTCGTTTTCATTTGTCTTTCCAGATGGAATTTACCAAGTTGTCATAGAATATTAATGCCTGCAGCTTTTTGGATCATATTAGCATCCAGGTGAAAAGTTGGTCTATCTTCAATCACTGAAGTAGTTGCTAATCCTTGAGATGAGTTTTTTGCCCAAATGAAATGGTTTCAACTAGGGGTGAGCATAAGCGGGTACCCGCTCTATTGAACCAGAACCGGCGGTTCTTGAGATATTGGAACCGGAACCGGTTAGAGCGGTTCTTGAATTTTTGGAGCCGGAACCGCCAGGAACCGGTTCCGGTTCCGCGTACCCGCTTCCTAAAATATTAAAATTTTGTTATTTAGAAATAAAAAATAAAACATTGGCAAAACACTAAGTAAATAAACAAGAATACAAATTATACGGTTAAATGGTTACAAATATTGTTTAACGATTACAAACCATAATAGAATAACAGTAAATGTTGAAAGTTTAACGATTACATACTATAATTGTAAATGTTCAAAGTTTAACGATTACATACTACAAATCCATTTAAACACATAATTTGAAAAAATACGAATCATTTTATATCAAATTCTGAATCTCGTTTCAACTTATTGCATACCCATCGGCCATCGCATCCTCAACCTCGTACGGTAACTGTGAATAATTGAGTGTTAAAAAAACTACACAAACTTGTAAAAAACTGCACATATTTTTCACAAAAAACTACACAAATTTTTATATTAAAAGAACTGCACAAACTTTGTATAAAATTGCACAAATTATATAAAAAACTACACATATTTTTAACATAAAACTGCACAAATTACATAAAAAAATTGCACAAATTATATTAAAAAAAAAGTAATTATTTTCTTAATTGAAAAATACCGGGTACCTGCCGGTTCCGGGTACCCGGTCCCGGAACTGGTCCCAACGGGTAACGGTTCCGAAAAATTGAGAACCGGAACCGGAACCATTCTCAATCGGTTCCGTATTTTAGGACCGGAACCACTCATATCGGTTCCGGTTCCGGAACCGGCAGTTCCAAGGCAATTCCGGTTCCGCTGCTCACCCCTAGTTTCAACCCACTTGTTATTTGGTGTGTTTCTTCTCTGAAGAAACCAAACAATTCGGAAGGCTGGCGTCAACTGATGTTTCTTGATTCTGATTCTTTTTTTGGTGGTTGAAGTTCATTGGCTTTGCAGGTGGTGTTCCTTTTGATTTTCAAAGCTTTCTATTGTGTAAGTCTAGGTTGACGGTTCGAGTCTCCTCAGGGCTATTGGAGATTTGGTTGTTATCTTTAGGACCCACAGGATTAGTCGAGGTGCATGCAAGTTGTTGGCCTGGACACTCGCAGTTACAAAAAAAACCCACTTCTATCTTGTGCATTACTGTTTGATCCAACTTTGTTCACTGAAGAGGACCCTAACTCTTGATTCTGTTGATCATCGTAATCTTCATCTTCTAAACCATCATCATCTTTGTCCTCATAATCTTCATTCTAAACTTCATCTTCATTTTCAAGTCAATTCCCATACTTATAATTTAATGGGTAGGATACGAACCATTCTGAGAACCAGAATGAAATCGGGTTTGACCGTTTGAGTTAAATTGGAAAAGATTCGTCTTTTTGCTCTTTTCCGATAAGAATTCAATACTGCCATAGACTTGATCAACACAACCAACAAATGAATATGACAAATATATAGCGTCAAGTAGCAAGCCCTCCATCCATTCATGGTTTGTAACCTACAACTCTTGAGCAAACCCACATTGTTCGCCCCAAGAACATCATGTGAGAAAAAGACCAGGTACATAATCGGCTGCTAGGTGGTTAGTTTAAGAGCCCAACCACCACAACAGTTCCCAAAATGAATTGTTAGTCTCACACTGTGGCTCCAAAATTGAACCAGCATTTGCTTATGTAAGTGTACTGTTTTGGAACCAACTGTGCTACGTCTTGGAGGCCATCTATCCCTAGTTGATCATACGGTATGTCCACTGTTGAGATATGCAGTCCCCTCAAGTGTACAATCTTTTTGTCTTCCGTCATCCCTATGTTCACAAAAATGCAAGAAAGATTGACGAAATTCAACCACTTGTAAACATATGTATATTTGGTATTTTGCCAAATCATGCCAAAGCAATTTGGCATAGTACCCAAAAAAACCTACATTTAACATGTTTGATCCCTCCTTTTGTAAATCACAAGCGCTGTTTTGTCATTTTGGTTGGTTTCTTTTTGTTGGAATTTATTAAATTGTCATTGATATAAGTGTTACTAACAACCAATTTTGTAAATCACATGTTTGATCCCTTTCATATTGAACAACCAATTTTGTTGTATTATATGCAAAAATAGATTAATTAATGAAACTTAATTAATAAACAATAGCAAAATACCATTTAATGAAATTAATAATTCAAATAGAACAAAACTGTCCTATAAATTGTAGGGTAATTTTTTTTTATTAACCTGGATATCCAACCTGCTATGCAAGCCGATTAATCTCAGGACGACCGTTTGTTTTGCTCAAGCCAATCAGACATTATTCTTGTGGTTAGGGTAAAAAAATATTTGACATACAATCAAACAAATATTTGGTTTAAGGGGAAAAAAATCCAATTTTTTTTTCTAAATAATCATGAAAATGTTAAAAGTGTTTTTTATTTTGTTTGTCAACTTACATTAATTTTAATATCTTCAAGTAACAATAAACCGTAAATTAAGAATATTTTATTACACCCTTTTAAATTAGTAGACAGTTCGTAAACATGTTTGATTATTGATAAAATGTCTAAAATACTCTTTATTAAAGACAAAATAGAGAAAACTTATCGATGAATATTGAATACCACATGATATAGTAGAAAAAACAGTTGGATATATTCAAAAGAACATGTGTTTAGAGACAAGGTCTAGTTTTTTGGGTTAACTAGACAGTGTAATGGTGATCCTAATTGTAAAAGGTACTACAATTCAGGATCATCCGGAAACATGGCTTTGTTCTATGAGCTTTCCAGCATCTTCTTGCAGCTCTCGTTCTGTTACATTGACTTCGGCGTTATAATCAAAGTTTTTAGCAACAATGAGGAAGAAGATGAAGTTCAAAAAGCTCAAAATCGTGTAAAATGCGTAATAGTAGTCTAGGTGAGATTCATTGAGGTTGTCTTGTATCCAACCTCCGTGCCCATTATTTTTCGTAACATTGGCCACAGTCGATAGGATGAAACTACTAAGAAAATACCCGACACCAAAACTAGTTGTAAAATAAGCCGTTCCAAGACTTTTCATTCCTTCAGGCGCCTGGTCATAGAAAAACTCAAGTTTTGCGACTTCCAAGAAACAATCTGAAATGCCCATTAATGCGAATTGAGGGAGGAGAACAAATATGCTTAGAGGCACGATTTCCTTTTTCCCTACAATACCATGATCTCGAGCCACGCTGAGTCGCCGCCTTTCAACAAGACTAGCAGTGATCATTGTAATCATATGGAGGACTAGTCCAATCGCCATTCGTTGCAACAAAGTGATGCCTCTAGGGTTTTTTGTGTATTTTCGAACGAAAGGGACAAAGAAACGGTCATAAACTGCGATGCTAATAAGCATGGAGAGCGTAAGAAATACAGCTAGACAAGCCGGTGGGATTTCAAAAGTCGGTCCAATGGATCGCACCAACGTGGTGCCTTGTTTGATGAAAAGTGTTTGACTTTGGGCAAACAACGTGCTAGGAATGAACACTGCACACAAAATGGGCACCATTTTGACCATTTGTTTTGTCTGCTCGACCTGAGTCACCGGACACAGCTTCCATTCAGAAGCCGGTTCTTCTATCTTCACCGCAGCTTTATCAAGAAACCTGTTTACAATCACGTGTTCAATTGGTTAGGCATTATAAGTTATTAGGGTTATGAGCCCAATCTTGTCAAATGAAAAATAATTTACCTTAATGAAGATGAATGTTCAACTTTATACTTCCCAGGATTTGAGTACTCATCCAAAGTCAACTCATAAAGCTCTTTAGGGTCAATAGGTACAATTGCATTCCTCTTTCTTAAAGAGGCAACTACTACTTGGGCCATTCTTGTAAATGGGCTTTCTCCTTTGAGCTTGTGCCTATAAATTGGTGTKCCAAATATAAAGGCTATTATGGCCACAAGTAGAGCCAATGTAGGGATACCATACCCTAAGCTCCAACCCACAGTATCTTGAATGTACACTAGGAATGTATTTGAGAAAAGGGTGCCAAAAAAGATGCTAAACATCCACCAATTGAAAAAAGTGAGCTTTTGTTTCCTTTCTTTCGGCTCAAAATCATCGAACTGGTCTGCTCCCATTGTCGAGATGTTGGGCTTGGTTCCGCCCGTCCCAATTGCAATGATGTAGAGTGCACAATAGAAGATACCAACTTGAAACGACGAAGCCCGTTTATCGCAGTCTAGGTAACTCACATTTTTCCCACATGATGGTGGCTTTAGGGATGATAGTGAGACCACAAGAGTCAATAAGCACATACCCTGTATAAAGAAAGAAAGAAAGAAATGTTGTAACTAAGAAGATCATTCCTAGACCGATAAAATAATTCGGGCTTAACACCCATAACACAGAGATTTCTTGTTATAAGGGCAGAATCATAGAGTGGTGTGTTTCAAGAATACATGGCAAAGGACCATTATGCATGGTTCTAATTCTCTCAAACCCCCAAAAAGGTAACAAGATTCGAAACTTGGGCCCATTACTTCTATCATTCTGCCCCGTTGTCAGTCTACTTAGGGGTTGTTTGGTTGGTTTTTCATCAAGTCTTGTATAGACAAATGTATGTTTGGATTGATCTGTTTGTATAGATCGGGAAGGTATATTTTTTGGGATGGTTTTCATAGCGGGAAGAATAGTGTTTTTTAACCAGATGTGATAGATTTGGAAGAAACTTGGTTTTCTGCATTAAAACTTTCCGCTAGATGCTTACTAATAAGTCACTTTCTATATCTTTAAGCCATAACCAAATAGTCGTGTATAGCTGATTGAATAAGCTGTGAGTCCCATTAAGCTCACTAAGCTGCTAACTAACAAACATGTCCTTAATTCTATAATATAAACGATGCTCAGAATCATATAGTTACCACAAGATAAATGACTGAAGCAATCATGAAAGTCCAATATCTTCCCAAATATGTGTCGGCAATGTATGCACCCAAAAGAGGAGTCATCCACACAGTTCCCACCCAATTTGTGACATTGTTTGATGACTTGACAGTCCCTTCATGCAATTCCCTTGTTAAATACAACACCAAATTTGTTGCTATTCCATAGTATGCCATTCTTTCACATGCTTCATACCCTGACAAACATTACAAGTATTTAATTTAATATATCACTATCTTCGACAAATTCTTTAAAAATTTCAATAAAATAAAAAATCAAAATTTAAAATCTTAAAAGAATTACATTAAAAACTCCAACAGATACAACATTGATTATAGAGAAATTACGCTTTTTGTCCTTGTAGTTTGTTAAAAATATGATTTTTCATCCTGGTAATTTAGAAATTAAGATTTTTTGTACATATGGTTTGTAATCTTTGCTAATTTTTCTTTAAGACAAAAAAACAAAGAATTGAAAACCACATGGATCAAAATTGCAATAAATTATAAGAACGAAAATAACAATAAATTACAAACCATAAGACGAACATCACAATTTTTAAACCACGGGTCCACAAGAAGGAAAATCATAATATTTTACAAACCATAAAGACGAAAATCATATTGTGGAATTTATTACAAATGTAATTTATCTATGTTAAACATTTAAGGAATTTATTGGTGGAAATATAATAAAAATAAATAAAGTAAACTGTGTTTTTTATCCACGTGGTTTGTTAAAATTGTAACTTCGTCCTTATGGTTTTGAAATTATGGCTTGCACTTTGTTACTGTTTTCTTTCTTAAGGCTATCTCTTATCTTTTTAAGTATGAGAGACTAAAATAACAAATAAATTGTAAACCACAAGGACGAAAACAACAATAAAGTTTAACTCACTGGATGAAAGTAACAATAAATTATAAACCAGTAGTAAATATTGTTTGTAAAATATACTGATTAAAAGTATATATTAACTGGGTTTACTATATTGATTCACTTCAGAATAACGATATCTAAATTATGTAGTTCCCAATAATTATATGTTTTGGTCATATAAAATTGACAACAAATCTAATAAGCAAATAACTTTGTTTGTTTAAAGTTATGGGTGATTATGTAAATATACATTAGTCATTTTATAGACATTCAACAATATGTCTATTCAACTAAAGGGCATTTGGCTTAGCAGTATCGTAGTCTTTTGCTTCCTAGGAGGTTAGAATTTCAAACCTCACCAAATGTGATGAGAGTTTGTGAGTTTATTTGTTGTATTTATCGTATATAAATATATACTTAAAAAAATCCTAATTATTTCGAGTTGCAATCATAATAATAAGTTTGAACACACATCCAAACACTCTTTTTATTTGTATTACATACAAAGATCTAACGACACTCACCTAACATGAAGTAACAAGCTCTCCATCTCCCAGTAGTTGATCTTAGAACATGTTTACCCTTAAGATCTGTAGTTCCATCTTCTGTAAAATCTTTTCCAACTCCCTTCTCGTATTCCATCAACCCCGTTGCAGAAAAACACAAGAACGAAACAGAGATCTTATAGATATCTGAATTTTTGGAACTTTTATAGATTATTGACTCCGAACAAATCAATTATGATATCAAAAATCCTTGTTTGTAACTAAATATAACAATACTTTTTTGTCTTTTTCTCTAGTTTGTACATGACAAAGACAGCTTTTTGGGCATTTTCATTGGTTTGTTTTGGTTGGAATTTAGCATGTTGTCTTGAATATTGTTGCCTCCCTAAAACTTTGCATAGTTGGAGCAATTTTGGCACATTTTGATTCTTATTGTTATTAGAAAAACCTTGAAAAAAGCATATAAGAAATGCAACAAAAAAACTGTTTGGGTTGTGACGTAATGGTTAAGCCAGTTTTAGGGGATTTAGTGGAAAATCTTATCTACTCTGGGTTTAATTTAAGGAGCTGTCAATACCTTTGTGGACATGGAGGGTCACTTGTAATAACTCTAGGCTATTTGTGATCGCCCAGGAGATTAGTCGGTGTGCGTAAGCTGGCCTGAAAACCTACGGTTACCCAAAAAAAAAAAAAAAAAGAAATGCAACAAAATGACACATTAACATTTCAATCTGTCTTGTTATATCGGTTTACCATTCAATGCTAAATTTGATTGAATTCAAATACTCCATTTCTTCCAAAATAAGGGTTCACAATAAAATGACATACATTATTAAACATGCATACTTATTACAATTTTTAGTTAACCAAATGACAATTTTACCCTTATTTAATTTATCTTTGTTCATAATTCTTAAATATTTGTGCAAATTAAGTGCAGATTTGAGAATTTAGTCGTATATTTTTCAAACTGGTTACTTGTGTTTAGATACACATAAATAGAATTATAGACACTTATTTTGAGAGAGACATGATAAAAGTTCAATTTTCTCTTAAAAAATATTTTAATTTCTTAACAAACAGTCAGACAGATATTTGCCTTCTAATGAATGTTCTTTTTAATATGATTTCTGATAACAATCATGAAGACTTTCTGGGTTTTTTTTGGCTGAGCTCAATAACTTATTCATTTAGTCGTTAAGTAGTTTTGTTTTTTCTTTAAGCTGTAGCTAGAAAGTACTGAATTACATAAGTTATCATATATCTGATATTTGAAATTCGTCTTATCCCAGATAGTTTTTAATAAGTAGAAAAACAATCACTCCATTGTATTTTTTACAAATATTTGACAATTGGAAGCATGATATTTTTAACCTTGTTTTGTCATCTGCTTATTAATCTTGATTTAAAATAACTTATTTCGGTCCAATTACATATTGATTACAACCTATCGAGTACTGACTGTAACATTAATAATGTTTGGTTAGGTGGTACTACGACGTATATATTTAACTACGTCTAAATGGATATGATCAAGATTGGATCTTTACTTGAAGCTGACATAGATATTGTATATTTGTTTATATTTACATAATACGAAATTTAATCGTAAGTATGATAAAGTAAGTGCTTACCAGGTGTCACTTAACTTCGAGATAAGCATGACAAGGACCTATAATCTTATCAGGCAAGAGGTATAGCAAGAATCGAGAATTTTTTTTTTTTTTTGAAGTATATAATATTTATATACGATAAATAGAGCATATAAGCTCACACACCCTCCTCACCTTTGGTGAGGTTTGAACCATTGACCTCTTAGGAGGCCAAATACTCACATACCATTAGCCAAAGGTCCTTTGGTAAGAACCGAGAATCTTACTCGGTAAGTAAGAGAAAAGACTCTTACACAGTACACGTTTATTTGGTGAAATACGTTTATCAACAATTCATTTTAATGGCCAGTAATATTTCCCAATAAAAAAAAAAGTTAGAGTGGTATTCTTGTCCATAAATATTTACTGGATAAACATTTGATAAACGACCTATAAATTATCTTATGTTAAATTGGTTTTAATAGATAAATAAAATAAAAAACACTTGTTTGATTTTCACAAACATTTGACAATTATAAGCATCAAAAACTTGCTTTTGTCATTTTGTCTATCAACCTTGACTTTAAATTAGATTTTTTCGATTTTATTATATACTGATTATGACCTATTGACCGTAACATTTATAATATTTACTAAGGTTTATTACAATATACATATTTAAAATGTATGTATGAATACGAACAACGTTGAAATCTTATTATACGGTCATGAACGCTCTTCATATCTTGTTTATATTTCCATGATGACATATCTGATCGTAGTAATAAACATCCTACTGTCTTTGTTAAAAAAAACACAGTGTGATACATTGTTTGATAAAAATGTATGATCGTTAATAATAATATGCAAAAGAACATTGGATAAGGGGTGCACAAAAAACCAACCTGAACCCCACTTAAAAAATAGACCGTATAACCCAACTTGATCTAACCCAGTGTTTCACTGGTTTATGTTAGAGGGTGCCTGGTTCGTGGAATTCAAAAAAAATTGATTGAATTGGAATGACAAATTCTTTTGACCAAATTCCTTGATGATGTTTGGTTCGTAGATTGAATTGATTGGATACTGATTTCCATGGTTAAGGGATTTGATCATTCCTTGACATAAATGAATTATTTGGATTCCGTTTTGTGGCAACTGTAATAATTTAGTTCTAGAAAGACAAATAAAATTTTACAACCAATTTAACCAACACCGCCATCAATAAGTTTTATTGATTTAAAGGTAATTTACCAAATGCTTATCTGATAGGCTCTTACCAGGAGTCATTTACCTTATCAGGTGATCAAGAATCTTAGCCAGTAAAAGGCGTGACAAAGACCGAGAATCTAACCCGATAAATGAAGGAAAAGACTTTTACCTCGTTACCTAGTCAGTGTTTACCGGGTAAAAACCACCTAATATACTAGTAATCCATTTTGATTGCCGAGAATGTTACCTGGTAAAGTAAGTGAGGATGGTAACTTTTACCGGTAAACACATACCGAGTAAACATTTAGTGAAGGAACTATTTATTATTCCCAATGTCGTAGAAATTTTGCAACTTCGACTTCATACATAGTTTCAATAAGTTGGTCATAAACGCAAACCAATCATCCATTGTTGTTGTTATATACAAGGAGGATGATCCGGTGGTGACGGTTGGCGGTCATTTTCATGAGTCGACTCGTTTGAAAGCTTGATTAAACTTTACGAGTCGAGTCAAACATATTTATATGCTTACAAATTATATAAGCAAAACATAAAAAGTTATTGAGCTCGAGTAAATAAACAAGTTAATTGATCTCAAATTCGAGCTCATAAACGAGCATTGAGCTCATCTCAAACATTGAAAAAAATATTTGAGCCAAATTTTGGAAAATCGAGCTCGAGTCAAGCTCAAGCTTGATATTATTTTTCAAAGCCGAGCTCAAATAACCTGCTACTTGACTCGACTAGGTTCGTTTACACCCCTAATCAGATGATTAATCATAGAAAATTGCCAGCATGCTTCATGAATTTTACTATAAATGGAATCAAGAATCAGTAATGAAACTCTAACCACAAATGTGGAAAGCAAAGCAAAGCAAAGATTTAAACTTTAAACAACACATTGACATACCCATTTGCTCAAACTTGAATCTTTGTAATATACGTGTAAAAATCCAGCCACCCAAGAATTCAGCTTTCTGTTGGTCACTGAGTTTTTATAACTCCAACCTTCTTCAATCTGTTGATTCCTGTAAAAACAAAGAGAGGATAACGTGGAAATGATTATGTCTCCAACGGTTAGCAGGATCTTTAGAGCCATAGCTTACTACCGAGACGTCACTAACACATGTAGCGAGTGTTTCAACAAGAACTTAGCTGAAATAAAACCAAACAAAACCCAGTATATATCACACTGAGACATAATCTGGAGAACATAACTGAAATAAAATCAAACGAACCCAGTATATCCCACATTGAGACAGGATCTGGGGAACATGGCTGAAAGAAAACCAAACAAATCCAGTATATCCCACACAGACAGGATCTTGGGAACATAGATGAAATAAAACCAAACAAACCCAGTATATCTCACGCAGAGACAGGATTTGAGGAACATAGCTAAAAAAATAACCAAACAAACCTAGTATCCTACATAGAGGCATGGCCTGGGAAGATAGGGGGTGCTTGGTTGGTTTTCCATTAAGTCCTGTATGAGAAAGCTGCCTGTGTCGATTAATCTGTTTGTATAGATTGCGAAGGTTTTTTCATAGATGGAAAGAGCGTGTCTTTAATTAGAAGGGGCAGCTTTGGAAAAAACTTGGCTTTCTGCATACCACTCCCCCCTAGAAACTTACTAAATAAGCCATTTTCTATATCATTACCAAACTGTCCTGTATAGTTCACCGATAAGCTGCGAGTCATATTGAGCTCATTAAGTTGCTAACAAACAGACCCATAGCTAATATAAAACCAAACAAACCCAGTGTATCCTACATACAAGTAGGGTTCTCGAGAACATAGCTGAAATACCACTAGCTAAAAGATCCTAAGGAATAATTTACCTGATAAAAATCCTACAAACTTCTTCAAAGCTGCAAGTAAAACCCGTGCAGAGAAGATGATAACAAGTTAAGAACATTATAAAGGTACCTGCTACTATAGCTTAACAACAAAAAGATAGAAACCAAATGACCTTTGACCTAGCGGTATCCAGGTCTTTGGCCTTCCACAAGGTCAGGGTATTAAACCTCACCAAATGTGAGGATGGTGTGTGAGTTTACTTGTTGCATTTGCCGTATATAGTATTTATATACTTCAAAAAAGAAAAAAAAGATAGAAGCATTTAACGAGGACAGAAAACCTCCAAATCAACTAACTCATACAACTACAGCAAACTTGAGTTAAACACTACAACTTAAAAGGCAAAGAAGCTTATAATGCAAGTACAACTACTGAAGATAAATAAGAGTAATAATGATACTACCAAAACAGCTACTGGAACATAATACCAAGATTCAAGCAATCCAACCGGTTTTTTGAGTTTGTTGTCATCAATCATCATGGAGGATGTCTACATGTGAAAGCATTATGGGAGCTCTGCCATGGATGCCACCAATGAGAAACACCAAACACCATCCAATCACTGTTGAAGATCCTGCCACAAAAACAGGAGCTGCTCAAGATTCTGATCTCCAGGCTGCATTAGAGTAACCAGGCTGCCCATTATAGGTACCCCCCATATAGCCGCTTCCACCGCCCCCACCACCACCACCTGGCCCTTGTTGATCTCCACCGCTGATGCCACTTCCAGCCATGCTATTTGCAGATCGGCCACCACCAGCTGCTCCGTAGCCAACAGTATTTGTATTGTAGCCATCATTAGTACTATAATTGCCATATCCATAACCTTGATTCCCATAACTGGAAGCCCCACTTGGAGATTGACCCACTGGGGCAGGAACAGCACCGCCACCTCCAGCAGCATTCCAAAGAACATTAGCCCCATAACCCGCATTTGCACCATAGCCTGCACCACCATAGCCAGGAGTCTGACCACTCCATTGGGTTTTTAATGCACTAGGACTACCACCTACATAAGCAGAGTTTGCAGCACTTGGGTTCCCGTATGCTCCAGCAGGACCACCATAGCCAGCATTAGCACCGCCATAACCACCAACACCATAACTTCCATAACCACCATAGCCAGCATTACCATTTGGTGCACCAAAGCCATAACTTGGTTGACCATATCCAGAATACGCTGGGTAGCCGCCACCAGAGTTTTGTGGCTGCATGAATCTATTGCCATCCATTTGACTATCAAACGAGCCAGCATTGTTACCCTGATAGCCTCCACCACGGCCACCACCGCCGCCAGGATTTGCGTCTTTAGGGAGTGCTCGTTTTACCTCCACAAGCTTATTGTTCAGCTCATGGAAGGTCTTCTGAAGAACTCTATCAACAGCATCTTCTGTGTCAAAGGAGACAAACCCAAATCCACGAGGCCTGTTGGTATTTTGGTCAAACATTATTACTACATCAGTCACATCTCCATAAGTTTCGAAATACTGGCGGAATTGTTCCTCTGTCAAAGTGGAAGGCAATCCACCAACAAATATCTTTTTGGTTCTGTAATTTCCTGCTCCTCCAGAGCTTCTCCCAACATTACTTCCAGGCCTAGATGCTTGCTGTTCTTCTCTGGATAAAGCCCTCTTAGCTTCCACCTGCAAAGCGAAGTGGAGTTCTATATAAACATAGCATATGCATGTAGCAAGGCAATACTTGCATCTAGATTCGATAATCAGCTCTTTAAAAGTAAAATACGACCAGCAGATACTTAGTATGAAGTATGAACAAAACATTTCATAATAGGAACGGATAACCTCTAAATAGATTTAAGTCAAAAACAACAATTTAGTCCCCTAGATAATCTAGGATACATGATAATATTGGCCTTTATATCCCTGTCATTCAACAGGCTATTTACCTCACTAACCTTCTCCAAAAGCGTGTTTTGCAATAAGAGCCTGCGACGTATTCCTAAGTTTTTACAGGCTTAGGCTGTTTTGAACCAGGGGGAGGTAAGATGGAGGTCATTGAGCTAAAAGATTAGGTCATGCTCCTAATTGAGAACTCATTTAGAGTCATTTATCCAAAGAACCCGTCGTTCAACTGGCAAGCAGAGAAGGAGGCTCCAAATAGAACAAATAAAAGAGATTTCTCTTCTCAAAAGTTACGACACTTTCAAGTCCAATTAAGCTTTGTATCATGTAGCTGTAGCAATGGGGGGCAATAACAAAGAAATATAACCGTAACCAATCATAAAGAAAGATTAAAGCAAATCTGAAATTAAACTTTGAATAACAAACGGATATAAAGACACAACATATCGAAAACCAATTGCCAATCAATAAATTTAGGAAAGTTTAAGCAACAATACAAGTTACAAACAAAACACAGAACCCAAATGAGATTTGCTTATAGACAGATGCTAACCCAGACAGCCGACATTCATGTTTGTTTGTTCTGAAGATATTTCGAATAACTCCTCAGTGCAGTACTAAGAGAACAGTGTTCACTAGTAATTAGTTAGAAAACTAAGAAACTATCAAAAGCAAAATCCTATTGAACAAATTACGACCAACATGAAAAGCCTCCAGTGAGACCATCTGACGGTCTGACCTCAATTATATGCTTTAAAACCAACAATGAACCAGCACACATATAATGATACATAGACCACAATCTTCAAAAGTGACTAAAGATAATTATTGATGGGTTCCTTTTTCCGCATAAACTATTTCCTATGAGGCTATAACATCAAACCCAATAAAGATTTACACATAAAAAACCTCCAAATAAAAAGATAACAATCAAATAATGCAATTCTGAGTTCTAACAATCAATGGAAGTGCTAATCGTCAAATTCAAACACCACCCCCAAGAAAGCAATTGAAGTACAAAATTTGGAGATGGAGGTCGACTGAAATTGAAATGCTTCATGAAGCTATAGTGTCTACCATCAATAGTATTCAAAATACAGTCACCCCTTCCAGAAATGTGGCTTTCACTTAGGTTGCTGATACGCATATCATTGCAATTTTATCACCGTAGTTGAATATGAGTTGGTTGATTCTCCAAGTAGAAGCGCACCTCTAAATTTGGGAACAAATGGAATCGACTATTATGCATAAAACGTAAAAACCATCGAACTTCACGAGATAAAAGTTAAAAAACAAAAGAGTAAATTTATACCTAAAACCTAATATTAAACAAATAGAGTAACAATTACGATCTGGAAAGCTCAAAACGAACTCTAAACCAACCAAAAAGGGATAAATAATCATTAATTTCTTACATTACGACCATCAATGGTGTGCCTATCTTGAAGAACAGAATCAAGAACAGACGGATCTGAGAAGACAACAAAGCCGAAGCCACGTGGACGTCCGGTGATCTTATCACGCATGATTACGGTCTGAGAGACATCGCCATATTTGCCGAAGTAATCACTTAACCTTTCTTCGGTTGTGTCCCATGCTATCCCACCTAAAAACAACTTTCCTTCGTCGGAATCCATTGATTGTTGTGTTGGTTTTCTCACACACAAACAGGCAGCTCAGTTCGAGTGTCTGTGTGTGTGATTTGTGAATCTAGGGTTTGCACGGACTTGAAGTGTCCGTTTAGGAACTTGGGATCGAATCGCGAGAGAAGCATACGTCATGGTTTCGGCATATTACAAACGATACTACGGCATCGTTTTATTCTTCATGGAATGAATTTGTCTCAAAATATCAAAATTGGAAAATTGCACCAAAATGGAACCAACTTTTACCTAATTCTTATTTTGGGGAATCAACTTTCAAAATCGTTATTTTGGGGAACCAACTTTCAAAATCGTCATTTTGGGGAACCAACTTGGACCTGATTCCTATTTTGGGGAACCAACTTTCAAAATCGTCATTTTGGGGAACCAACTTGCACATGATTCCTATTTTTGGGAACCAACTTTCAAAATCGCCATTTTAGGGAACCAACTTGCACCCGATTCCTATTTTGGGGAACCAACTTGCAAAATAATTATAGAAAAATAACTAAAATTCGTTTTCTTTCCAAAAAATAATGCAATAAAATTTATTTTTCATTTCAAATCTCGTTTCTTTTTAATTCAGATATCAAATTGGACATTTTAAAAAAAAATCAAATTACCACAATAAAAATTGTTTTTTTACTAATGCAAAAAATCAATTTAATAGAAAAAATTAATTGATACGGACTGGTTAGATATAAAAATCTTGAATGTGATATTTAATATTTATTTTTTATTGCATCAATTAATTTTTTTCTATTAAACTGATTTTTTTTGCATTAGTAAAAAACAATTTTTATTGTGGTAATTTGGATTTTTTTTCTTAAAATGTTCAATTTAATATTTGAATTAAAAAAACAAGATTTGAAATGAAAAATAGATTTTATTGCATTAATTTTTGGAAAAAACGAATTTCAGTTATTTTTCAATAATTATTTTGCAAGTTGGTTCCCCAAAATAGGAATCAGGTGCAAATTGGTTTCCTAAAATGACGATTTTGAAAGTTGGTTCCCCAAAATAGAAATTAGGTACAAGTTGGTTCCCCAAAATGACGATTTTGAAAGTTGGTTCCCCAAAATAGGAATCAGGTCCAAGTTGGTTCCCCAAAATGACGATTTTGAAAGTTGGTTCCCCAAAATAGGAATTAAGTGAAAGTTGGTTCCATTTTGGTGCAATTTTCCCTATCAAAATCTATCATTCTTATCGAAATTGCTTATAAAAACAACTTATTCACTTATTTCAGTATGACATCGATAATAAGTATTTTTGAATGTCTAGATAAACAACTTATATCGGTACCAAACCGGTAATAAAAAGTTTTTGAATAAGCTAAACTCTTCTAACTTATAATAAATTGATAAATGTTTTCGCAGAAAAGTATAAGTTGTTTCAAATAAGCAATCCCAAACACCCCCAAGTTTAATGAGATTTACAGCTTATTCAATCAGCTATATATAATTACTAGAAAGGTATTCGTCCAATACAACGAGATTTATCTTGATTTTAATGTTTTGTTATATTCTTTGTATTTGTCAATGTTATAATACATTTTTATGTAGTTTTGAGAAATCAATAATGTTTTTATTTTTGAATAAAATATAAATCTGGAAAAAAAAAGTTCTAGTTTTTTTTTGAGTAATTTCTTTAATTCAATTTTTTATTATAATTTAATTTAGGTTTAATAACATAGTAAGTTATTTTTGGTTTAATAATATAATTTTYTTATAAAAATAATAATTATATATTTTGTTATAACTCAATGATTATCCTGATTATATTTTAGATTTTTGTATTTAAAATGAGAAATATTTTATATTTGATTATGTTTATCTGAAGTTAGTTACACGAATTTAAACATGGAAATCTAATAAGATGTACTTATGCACAATTTACTTGTAATCTTGAATTTTAAATAATATGCATCAATAAGCAGTACATCATGCATAAAAATGGTTGTTAAAAGTTTTTGTCAAATATTTTATAATATAGTATAGATAAGGACGGGACCAATGTATCGAATACGGTGGCATGGTCCATCATTTTGTTCCTCCATTGTAATGTGAAAAACTATAGAGTCGTGAAAAGTGACACTGTATCAGTTTGTTGCGTGTCAACATATATATTTTAAAATTACAATGAGAACACAAGTTTCTCTTAATATAGTTGGTATGCAAGACTTTTTTTTCCAACCTAGACCCGAGTTTAAATTCTTTTAGGGTCATTTTCTCAATTTTTAGCTTTTAATTTCAAATATATTATGTTTCTGAAAACAATTTGCAACGACTTGTACAAAAACTTCACGTATGAAAAGCAATGAACTGGGCAACAAAGCAAAGATGATTTTGTGAAACATGTCTTTATATTTGTTTCTCATAGTCAATGGCGCCACCATTTGAAAAAAATTCTAGGTCCATCTCTACATAACTGTTTGGTAGTTGCTTAATGATATAGAAAGTGACTTATTCAATAAGCTTCTTTGTGAGAGTTTTGTGCAAAAGTTAGGTTTTTCCCCTCCCAACTAAAAAACGCTTCATCCATCTATGAAAAACTCTTCTGAATCTATACAGACAAATTAATAGAAACAAACAGTTTTATCCATACAAGACTGATGAAAAACGAATCAAACAACCCCTTAGTTTTAACTTTAATTGAGTTTTGTAATTTAATACATTATTTAATAAAAATATGTAATTAATTGTTAACTATTTGTTAACTGTTAAAAATATGCGTTCGTAAATAATTAGGGCTGCTGAAAACATGAGCAAATCGTGAACCCATCCAAACTAAACCGCCAATAGCTCAATGTGTCAAATTGTTAACAGGTTCAAAGCCAAACATTAGGCTATTGTGAGAAGTTCAAATAAAAAGGCTAAACATCGCGAGGAGGTAAAAACAAAAAACTTATATGTAATCACTGTAAAATCTATTTACACATGCATATGTAAACCTATATGAATAATATGTAATGTATTTACATCAGCAAGCAGAAGCGATGAAAGCGCCTACCCCTTTCAGCAGCCATGGAGGACACCCCTATTGACAAATCATTATTCCCCCAGATAGATTTTCCGAACCTCAAATTTATAATATTTAAATGATAAAAATATTAAAATTAAAAGTACAATGCGGTAATAGAAATTGGTGATGTTATAATAAATTACTTTTGAAGGTACAGTGCTATAATAAAAAAATGTCATGTCAACACTATCGTACATGTGGACAGCCTACATGAACGATGAGGTGACAAAGAAGCCTAATATAATGGGTAAATTTAATTTAAAATGTAACACAATATTATAACGGATAAATTTTTGGAAGTATAATGCCTTAATAAAAAATATTATCATGTACGAATCTTAAAAACGCCGATTTTCATAAATAAAATAATAATAATTTTAATTAATGATAAAAAAATCAAATCCTAGAAAAAGGAATCATATCTAGCCATTATTATTCTCCATTTAAAAAATTACTATAATATCCTTTTTCATAATTAAAATTGAAACAATAAAATGTTCATTCTATTAACATAAATAAACGGACAAATTGTATGAAAAAGTAACGTATTTTAACTTGATTTCTATTTTGGATAACGTACTTTTAAAACTTCTATTTTGGTATCTAAGATGTAAAGTTTGAATATTTAATTATCTGGGTAACTAGTTGAAACATTAATAGGTTACCATGTGATGAGTGATATGATGAAATTGGGTTGAATAGCAAATAATATTGAGTTGGATACCACATCACTTGCTATATCAGCATTGTAACCAGTTAATACTTCAACCGGTTACTCGGGTACTTTAATTTTTAAAACTTTACATCTTAGATATCAAAATGAAAGTTTTAAAAGTACGTTACCCAAAATAAAAATCAAGTTAAAGTATGCTACTTTTTCATGCAATTTGTCCTGAATAACACTCAATCAATACCTTTAATTCCCAAATAATAAATTTATAAAATAAAACTTGTTATTACAATATCTTAAAAAAAATCATAGTAATACATATTCGAGATTTTAACAATTAAAATACTAAAAATAAACAAATAAATATATTTATACTATGTTATAAAACATTTGACAAAACTCTTAAAAAGCCATCTTTTATACATAAAATACTGTTTATTGATGTATATTACTTAAAATTCAAGATTATAAGTAAATTGTGTGTAAATACAACTTATTAAACTTCATGTTTGAATTCGTGTAACTAATTATAGATAGATATAATTAAATACAGGATACAGTTTTAATTTTAAATATAAAATCTAAAATATAATTATGATAATTATTGAGTTCTAATAGAATACTTAGTTATTATCTTTATAAAAAATATATTATTAAATTAAAAATAAATTACTTCGTGATCAAACCTAAATTAAATTATAATTAAAAAAATTAAATTAAAGAAATTACATAAAAAATTTAACACACACATATATATATATTTATGATATATTTAAATTTATATTTTATTAAAAAATATTAAAATCGAAATATATATTGTTACATTACGCGAACACCTTTCTAATTTATTTTTAACCATATTTTATATGTCATATTCAAAGTTTGAAACGCTTTAATTTGAATTGATTATTTTAATAATTATAATTTCATACTTATTGTGTGTTTTCTTTAACATTTCTTTGTTCTGTTTTTCACTTTTTATAATTAATAGAAAAGTTAAATTTTTTCGGTATGAAATTACAAATCAACTTTTTAAAAAAGGTATATTATATGAAAAAATAATGTACTTTAACTTGATTCTATTTTAAGTAACGTACTCTCAAAACTTATATTTTGATAGTTAAGATGTAAAGTTTTAAGCATTTAAATATTCGGGTAACCGGTTGAAACATTAACTAGGTTACCATGCTGATGTGGTGAGTGATGTGATATCTAACTCAATATTATTTGCTGACACAAATATCTTAATCTAATCAGTTAATGCTTCAACATGCTTAACCAGTTAATGCTTCAATATGCTTAACCAGTTAATGTTTCAACCGGTTACCCTAGTACTTAAATGTTTAAAACTTTACATCTTAGGTACCAAAATAAAAGTTCTGAAAGTACGTTGCCAAAATAAAACAAGTTAAAGTACACTACTTTTTCATGTAATTGCCATTTCTAAAAATACATAAACAAAGAAATGATAATTATTTTGTAAATATTTATCCATCACCATCATTTTTAAGGATGTTTGATTAAAAATATTAAGCTGTGTAATCGATGAGAATGAAGGAAAGAATTTTTTTTGGTTTTATAATATAAGGACCCATTTCTTCACGAGCTGAATTTTCATTCCATGTTGAATTGCAAAATAAAATTTATTACTGCTTTCATTCACTGTTTTGAACCAAACAGTCCTCTGAATCTCTCTCTCTCTCTCTCTCTCTGTGTGTGTGTGTGTGTGTGTGTGTGTGGATATATTCAGTTGTGTCCCTAACTTTCGTTGTGAATTAAAGGCAAACGAGTGTGCGTCACATGTCTTCATTTATTCTCGTTCATCATTAATAATGAACGTATATTTGTGAACGTTGTAATAAATTTGCGTTCATTATTCATGATAAACGGGGACGAATAAAGATATGTCTGATACACTCGTTTGTCTCCAAATTCAAAAGGAAAGTTAGGTTTAATAATAGAAACGGTTACATTATATCGAAACTAAATTCGTAATTAACAAGGGGCATTTACATCCAAATCTGAACTATCCGTCTTTCGGATCCAACGACTGACATGATAAAAGATATTCGAGCATCCACATTGGTGCGGAACCTCCAAACAACTGGGTTTTTATTAAATTTTAACTTATCTGATTTATATATTCATTAAAATAAAACTGGTTAAGAAACAATAAACAACATAAAAGAAAGAATGTAGAAACGAATCTGAGTTTTTTTTCAAACACCTGAATTTTTATCAGAACCTATAACTGGACAAAAACCTCTATCCCACATTAAAAATTCTATAAAAACAGAACAAGAACAAGAACCTCAACAAGAATTTCAGGGGTTGTTTGTTTACCTCTTAATAATTTCATTAAGAGACAGTATCTGAATTTTTAAGAGATGAATCTTGTTTGACAAAAAAAATCTGCCTATTAATGGTTGTAAAACTCTCTAAATGATTTTGTATCATGGGTCTACCTTAACCATTTAACGCCCTAATTTCATTGTAAGCAATTACCAAACAATTATATTTCATTTTACACTACATCATGCCAATTTCTTAATCATTATGATCACTTAATCATTTTATACCAAACTATTCAACAATGTTAAAGAGAGTCTCACTTTTTTTAATATTTTTAAACATATATTCTCACTTTTAAGAAAAAAAGCAAATAGAATAAAATATTATAAATTCCATAAGATTGTGGACTAATATCACAGGCTGGTGACCAATGCCATCATCATCCAAACCCAACGGTCATTTCCCCTTTTGAATAACATAAACCCTAACCCTCTTACAACACACCAATTCTCGACCGTTTTCTCTGCTCTCTCTCTCTCTCTCTCTCTAAAATAATGAAAGAGATTGTCTAACAATTTCAAATTCCTCAAACATCCAGAGGATAAAAACCCACGAATCTCTGTAATTTGATTTCTAATGGGTTGTTTTCTTGGTTGTTTCGGTTCTTCCAAGGATCGTAAACGAAGAAAACTCAGATACAAGGTTATCCCTCGAGATCAAGTAAGATTTCACCATTTTTACCCTACTGTTTCAACTTATTATTCCCTTTTCGAGTTTGAATTTATGATGGATTCGAAATTTTGACTTCGAATTTAGGTTGATTTTGCTAGCGTCTTCTTATTGTTCGTGTTTTGTTATGTTTGAATTGGATTTCGCCTTTTTTTGATGTTTAATTCGTGAATTTCTTAGCTACCATAGACAGCTTCAAGTGTTTAATTTCTTCCATTTTCATTGCACAAAATTGAATGGAAGCCATGAAATTTAGATGACGAATAGGCATAAAGAATAGAGCCTAATCTTTTCTCTAGAAAGATCAAGAACCTTATGCTAGATTGACACATCCCTAATACACACACATACATACATACATACATACATACATACATACATACATACATACATACATACATACATACATACATACATACATACATACATACATACATACATACATACATATATATATATATACATACATATATATACATATATATATCCAAGTGTGTGTATATATATGTATGTTAGAACATCACTTCTCTAATATAGGGATCTTTTGGAGAGTAATCTAAGAGAGTTTCACATATTCTCAAATGGTATCGGAGCCATAGTCTACTACTGACTGGGACTCAACACTTTGAGACATTCCATGCCCGTTTAGACTCCATTGGAAGGGGGTAGGTTGGAGTCCCATATTCACTTAGATTTGGATCATTTACTTTCAACATACGTTGAAACCTCGCTTCTTTCTTAAGGGCTCTTTTGAAGATTAATCTAACAGGGTTCCACATATGAACATGGAACTCTTTTCAATGTCTCACTAAAGAGTCCTTATGGAAAGAAGAGAGGTTCTGTACACACACATATATGTGTGTGTATGAATAGGTTTAATGGTCCGTATATCCAAAAGCTGTTACCAGTTTCCTAAACAAGGGAGGTTCTACGTATACGTGTATATATATATACAGGTTTAATGGTCCACGTGTCCAACAGTCGTAATCAGTTTCCTAAAGAAGGGAGGTTCCATTTATATCCAAGTTTAATGATCCGCATGTCCAATAGTCGTAATCAGTTTCCTAAAGAAGAGAGGTTCTATATATGCATACATACATACATACATATATATATATATATATATATGTATGTATATATATATGTATGTATAATCATTTAATAAAGGAGAATCAAACTTTGAGTTGAATTTTGTGAATTTTTGTTTCAGAATCATAAAATTCAGAACCTTGTGCAAGCTGATGTCTCTTTGGTACAAAGCGTCAAAGAAAGACCCTCTAATTCCCTTTCAGAATCAAGGTAACTCGCAGGTTTCACCAATCTGTGTTCTTGATTTCATTTATATATCTTATTTTGGGATTCAAGATTATGATCTAACCCTTTATAAATTCAATAAAAATCTGGTATAGGGGAAAGATTGAGGAGCCATTGTGCTTGAATACCCGAAAAAAGGTGACATTTAATACAAATGTCACAACTTACGAGCATGTTCAAGTCTATGATAGCACCGAATCTTTATTGGAAAAGAATGAAAAAGGCGAAACTTTTCCCAAATCGGCTCAAACCCAATTCGATTCTGGTTCTCCGGATGGTTCAGAAATCTTGAAGGCTGGATCGTACCCGCCAAATTATAGGTATGGGAATTGCGTTGAAAGTGACGATGATGAAGTTGAAGATTCAGATTATGAGGATGAAGATGATGATGATGGTTTAGAAAATGAAGAAGATTATGACGATGAGGACGAAGACCGGATCATATGTCGTGAAGTGTGGTGTGAGTCGATTCCAATTCCGTCAACAGAATCAAGAACAGAGTCCTCTTTATTGGACAAAGTTGGATCAAACAGTAATGCACGCGATCGAAGTGCGTTTGTTGTTCCTGTGTTGAACCCTGTGGAGAATCTTACACAATGGAAAGCTTTGAAATCAAAAGGAACACCACCCGTGAAGCCGTTCAACTTCAACCAGCAAAAGGAGAATTCTTCTTTGAATTCCACCCCGTTTGCACCCCAGAATCGAAATCAAGAAACAGCAGTCGATGCGAGCCTTTCGAATTGGTTGGTTTCTTCAGAGAAAAACACACCAAATAACAAAAGGGTTGTAAGCAATAACCCCGAATACGAACCCATTTCATCTGGAAAAAGCTTATCACGAGGATCAGCGATCGAAGATAGACCAATTTTAGGCGCATTGACCGAAGAGGAATTGAAACAGTTTTCAGCATCATCTTGTACACCGAGGAAGTCACCTAGCCGAAACCCTGATGAAATGGCTATAATCGGCAGCGTTGGAAGCTATTGGAGTCACACCGATTCAGTCAAATCTTTGAGCTCGAATTCATCATATAAAGGCATACCAAATACCACCAGCAAGTATAGAGAGGTATATCCCTAAACAAACCTACTTACAAACTGCCTTTTAAATCCATGACCTTCTAACAGGTTTTTAGGCGTTCTTAAATCTGACAGATTGTCACTTAACTATAGAACCCACATAATTTAGTGCTTTTAAAATTCATGACCTTCGAACAAGTTTCTAGGCATTCTTGTGTACGTGGCATTCTTCTGTTAAACAATGATATTCTTAAACCTGTCAGAAGGTCCCCCTCCCCTTTGAAGTCATTTAACCGAAGAACCCCATAATTTAGTGCTTTTTAAATCCTTGACTTTCTGACTAGTTTTTAGACATTCTTGCTACGTTCTTCTGTTAAGCAGTGACATTTTAAAACCCGTCACAAGGTCATGGATTTAAAAAAGAAAAATATTGGCAGAAGATTGTTTAACCAAAGGACACTAAATTGAGTGGTGTTTGGTTATGTAGGATAAGAAAGTGAATTGGCACAACACACCATTCGAAACAAGATTGGAGAGAGCTTTGGAAAGAGGTGCTACTGAAGTTTAGTAGTTTGTATCTGTAACTATATCTGTACCTGCGCTTCCATTTTGTATGTTCTTGTGAGATCTGTATGTTTTCTGGTTTCTACACAGATTCATCAACAATTGTTTTGTTGTAATTCTTTATTGGTTTTTTTGGTGATTATAAATATAAAGATTGGATTTGTTTGTTGCATTTCACATTTTTCCATCTTACAAAAGGATGATACTGACCATTCTTGTAAGAACCTTGAGAATTGATGCATCATGTGTTATTTCAATTTTCATATACCCTAAATTCTGGTTTTGGATTAAAGAGAATATCATGTGAAACAATAAGGGGCTGTTTGGCAGTTGCTGAATGATTTAGTGCATAATAGTTAAGAGGTCAGAATGGTTAAGTACTGAATGAAATAATGTTGTTTGGTAATTGTTATCTGAATAACAGTAAATTACCATTTTAACCCTCATCTAACAAAAACCCATCTCCCTTCGGCTTCCATTAATCCAACCCTAGAATCATTTAACAGAAGACGACGCCATCTCCCACGCCATCGACGACCCCAGAAGTGGGCTGTGATTGAAAGTGAAGAGGAGGAGCTTGAAAGTGGCCAGCCAAGTGAAGAAGAAGGTGGCGACGGCGATGGTGAAGGCAGATGAGTAGCGAGTGCGACCGACGATCGTAGGGTGGGGGTGGCGATTTGCAGACCGGCGACGAGAGGGTGGGGGGAGGGGCTGTGAAGTCCAGCGACGAGAGGGTGGGGGAGGGGCTGTGAAGTCCAGCGACGAGAGGGTGGGGGAGGGGCTGTGAAGTCCGGCGACGAGAGGGTGGGGGAGCGACCTGTGAGGAAAGCTTGGGAGAGAGGACAAAATTGGAAAAACAACACTCTGAATGGTTTAGAGAAAACCCAGATGCAAAATGGTTAAGAGGGGTTGTGTAACCATTAAGAGCCTCTTTTTTTTGCCAAACAACTTTAACTTCTTACCGATTAAGAGGTTGGCTCTTAATGATTAAGAGCCAAACAAACAGGCCCTAACTTGAAGTAAAGTTGTCATGGTTACCATAATATATAAAATTCTTATTTGGTCACACCCAGAAATTGTTAGGGCCAAATGATGGTAAAAAATTGCCGGACGAAATATAAATAATCGTGTGTTGATACAAAGATTTCTAATTCATTACGAGATATGTATGTATGTTTTCTAAAATCTCTATTTTTGCGGCCCCTGCTTCTTCAGGCGGAACTCCAGGTTGAGGAGTTACTCCGAAAGACTCGTTAACTATTCTGGGGGTTAATGGTAATCAAACTCTCTAAAAATTTTGGGGATAAACACCAATAAATAATAAAGTAAAAAATATCTGCAATAATTCTTGCTAAGAAGAACGCCCATGTTGTGGCAATTCCATTTGTAGTAAAACCTGTAGGATACCTATCCAGAAGTTTTTGCAACTCAATCATAGATGATGGAATGATCAAAGATTTCCAACCAATTTTTGCTCCAACAGAATCTTCAAAACTTTCTCCAAAATGAAGAAAGCATGAGAGCCTCAGTAATGTTTTTTGTTCCAACAGATTCTCTAAAATGAAGAAAGTAGAAGAGATTGTAAAAATCTCTAATTTAAAGAACGCCCAAAAATATTATTATAATGACGAGAAAAATATTATTTAATATATTTTCAATAATAGGAAACTTTAAAAATAAATATTTAACGAAAGACATAATATTTTATTAAATAAAAAAATATTTTAATAATATAAACAATTTTGTAATCTTTAAAAAGCAAAGAGTTGAATGTATTGTTGTTTTAGAGATTTCGTTTCCACAATTTTCAATTGTCATATCATTCATTTCATATTTGCCCCTCAAATAATCCAAAAGCATGGTCACCAAAAAAAGGGTCTTACCATTTGACAAGTGTTGTAACTTATTGGTCAAGCCAATTTGTCTGATTCATTAAGTCATGTTCATTGATTTCTGCAACATAATTCAAGACTTTGACTTTATAAATCACAATCATGATGATTAGATTGTACTCTAACAACGTGTATGGTAGCTTTCCAAACGTAAATGACTTTTAAGACCTTAGACCATTCACATTATTAGGTTTCAATTGAGGGAGGTTATTTTACAATTTCGAACTCAACAATTTAAAATTATACACAGAGAAAAACGAGTATACCTTCATTTTATTAGAATACGTGAACATTCTTTTACTATAGACAATCACATGTGATGCTAAATCAGAGACGCGAATGATTTTCGACGCGATATTGGTTGTGGGTTAAGTCGCTCTTACACCACTAAGTCCGCTAACATGTATTATCACATGTGATAAGAGTGTTGTTGATATGATACTGTAATCCATCAAAACGATCACATGTGATGCTAAGTCATAGACGCAGATAACCTTCGGCGCGGGCTAAGTTGTAGAACACGTCGTTCGCACATCACATGATCCCCTCACGCGTATTATCACATGTGATAAAGGTATTCTTGCGTTCTCGTAATATATATATATATATATATATATATACACACACTATCTTATTAAGCAAATTTAGCAAAAGTCTTAAAATCTTAAAATACTAAATGACCAAGATACCCTCTATACTACCCTTACTCACTTTTTCACTCCCTCCTCTCTCACATACACTCACCCTCTCACAACCTATTTTTTTTAAATTATAATTTTAAATTTACACTTTATACCCCTATAATTAGTTAATTAATTTACTTTACATCTTTTATTTTTAGATGTTTCGTTTTAAATCTTTATCAAATTAACATACATAGTCGTATATCAATTAAAAACATGTTTAAAAAATACATTTTTATTTTAACAAGTTACACTATTATAATCGTCTCGTTAATACATTCGAAATGAGTCCAATATTGAATAATTTTTGATTTAATTATATTATTATATATTATATATATTGTGAAAAATATGTTTAATATTTATGATTTATACTTTTATACTTATTTATTTATATATATATATATTATATATTTTGGGGTTAGGCTGTCCAAATTACACTGTATAATATGTTCTTGGATTTTTTTTGAAATATATATATATATATAGAGGAGTGATCATATGAAAACCGCCCTCATTTCTGTAGACCGTGCAAACCACCTTCATCTGTCGATTTCATTGTTTAATCTTATGAAATTTTTTCATGAAATTGTTTAATCTTGTGAAATTGTTTCATATAATACTTTTTTTGATGGAGTTGTTTCATATAATACTTAATGAAACTGTTTCATGTATTTCTCTAATATTAATGAAACTGTTTCATGTATTTCTCTAAAATTAAAATAATGAAGATGATAATATCTATGATTAACACCCTCCACAATAAAAATGATTAATCA